TTATCCTCAGCAAGACCTGAAACACAAAAGGCATTCAATACACATTTCCTGGATGAATAAAGTAATTAATAAAGTAGGAACCCTGGAAGGCTTTCCAACATTTCCTAAATGTAGTTTTACTAAAATGGTGTCACCATTTTCTGCAATACACAATAGAGTCCCTAAAAACAAAGATAAATTACTAGGACTATTCCTTTTTCTATGTGTAAAACCTGAATATAGCTGACGCACTATTTTGGATAAATCTCAACACTTTGTAATCCTTTATTCAGGTAACACTTACAGAATCAACCACGCTATACATATTTTAAGTGGCATAGTCTGACAGAAACAAAACATGCCATCATTTTTCAAAGAATGAAGCTACTGAGGTTTCAAACCAGATTAACAAAATGGCCTGTCTAATCATGTTCCTGGAGCATAGGAAGTTATCAATAACAGCTTATTGGTGCAACACCATCAGGATTGTCATCATCATAGTTATCACTGTCATCACCTTCATCACCGTCACCATCATCATCTCCATCACCACCATCTTCGCTATCATCATCATCATCACTATCATCACCACCATCATCACTGTCAATATCCTGTTGGTTAACTGTGAAATGCATCTCCCACTTTTCCTTCTTCTACTCTTCCTGTATTTATAATGGCTTATATACTTATGCCCAAATTGTGTCAGTTTAGTTGGAAGAAGACGTCTACCTGCTAGATTGAGTAAACATATATGAATCTCATTCTTAAAAGAAAAAAATCTACATTGTTGCTTACTGGCACATACCTAAGATACATTGCTATTGTCATAACAAAACTCTATCTGTTCATTCCGCTGAGAATTCGGAGTTTACAAAGAACAGAAGAAAGAGTACTATTTTTTTCTCTCTGAAGGTTTATAATTCAAAAAATGTATTAAAAAGTCAAACTTACAATTGTCTGTGTGTCTGGGAGGTTCTTGAAGACGAAGTACTGTCAGAATCATGAACAGGATACATGGCCAGAAGAATTCAGCAAGGGAAAGGACCTGGGGGCATTTTTTTAAAAAATAGCACTTGAATAAATTGCAAAGCTTTACAATATTTCCATCTCTTGAAGGAGCTTATTGTAATCCCTACTGTGTGTCTCTTAGAATAATCATTTGGGACAGGGGCCCACAGAGAAGGTCTAGCTCACTTGTTACTGCATCCAGATCTGCGACCGTGTCATCTCCCTGTCCTTCTCCCACCAGACTCGACTTCTGCTTTTCTCCTTTTTCTGCACATTTTTATTGATTACAGAGCTTATGACATCAAAGAAATTAATAACTTCCTCATATTTCCCACACTACAACAAATCAAATGTTATTTTTCTAATTTCTTTTACACTCCTGACTTTTCCATGCAAACAGATATTTTGCCAGCTTTGGTGGAGCACTCATTTCTCATTTACCTCCATCTTATGCATGTTTTTCAATATTGCCACATGAGGTTCATAACTATCAACTTGCTGATTGCATGACATTCATACCAAATGTATATATCGTAATTCACATAAATATTCTTCTATCAAGGAACATTTTTGTGTATAAATAATTTTCTTTTGAATTACTTTTTTAAGATTCGAATAAATGCCTAAAACTAACATTATTGGAGTCAAATCTCTTGACACATACTACAAAAGAGCTGCCCAAAAGGATTGCAATAATTTCTATAACCCTGAATTTTCAAAGTTAAAAGAAAAGGAACTGCCATTGATACATGAAATTTAATTATTTGAGAAAGAAATACCACCTGTAAAATATAGCCCTCAAAAAAATTAAATTTAGAAAAGCCTTGATTATCATAAAATTATTTTTATTGTCATCATTCTTCACTTGATTTTATGGCAGATAATCTTCTATTGACTTCAGGTGATATCCTTTTACAAAAATGAAAGTTTATAGCCAGACACAAAACAGGCAAGGTATTGAATAAATGCACACACAAAACCCTAAAAATCGTCAACTTGAGGATGTTCAGTCAAACACTGAAGAGGATGTCTTACTGTTTCAGTCTCCCAGTTATAATGCTTTGAACTAAAATGAACTTCTGGTAGCATTTGCTGCTTTATTCCTTACACTGCTGTGGTCATACCCCACTGTCGTAATCCTTCCCTGTAAGCGGATCTAAATGTGAACAGGTGAGTGGCCTGAATCCATCAAGACAAAACACAGGTGGAAAAGAGTGTTTCTATCCAGGGTGTAATTAAAGAAGAAAAGAAAGCACCCTCTTTGAAATCGTCCATGAGGAAGTATTTCTTGTGCCAAAAAGTGTATCATGATAAAAAGTTTTCTGACAAAGTGCTGAAACCCAATATCACACATTCTGGTAGACAAAATGTCTGTGGGAGGGCACCCTCTGGTTCAAGGGATCATAATTAAACTAGAAAGAAAGGACAAGGACACTCAGGAGATCACAGTTCATTTAAGTCATTTTGGTCATTCTCTGTAACAAATTAATAATTTATTGGAGTATTGGGGTAGGGAGGTGGTGGGGGAAGATTCAATAATTAATTCTGGATAAACATAAACTAGCAAAATTTAGAATGTACCTCATATTAAACAATGACTTGATACCATAAAGAAGAATACACGAGTCCTGTGTTCTGTCTCCTCCTTAGGAGTCCTCATCTGTGTGCTTCCAGACTCATGATCTGACTGACGGGGCTGCTCAGCCCGATGGGCCCACACAGGACACAGCTCCCCGAACCCCCCCTCAGTCTGCACCTCTTCAGTTTGGGTGAGGGTGTGTGCTCCACCCAGTGGACCCAGTCAGAGCCCTCCCTCTTCTCCTGCACCCAGCCAGTTGTTGCTCCTTCCAATCCTCCTCCTTCATTTCTGTCCAGTCTGCTCTTTTCCCCTTACTCCACACCACCACCAATTCTTTCCAGGTTACTCGAGAGCTCCGTAAACTGACCTTGCATCCTCCAGTGCTGCTCTCCCCACCCCAAGTTCAGCCTCGGCCAGCATCTAGGCCATGACCCCTAAATGCCCATCTTATTATGATCTTGCCTGAAGCCTTTCAATGGCTCCTCAACACTCTTTGAGAGTGCACTGTCCTCCACACCACACCAAGCCCTTCAATCGATCTGACCCTGCTGACTCCCCAGCCACATCTCTGCTTCTTGGTCACAATGAGCTGCTTTTGTTCCACTCTGGGCCTTGGCCCATGCTGTCTTCCCTGCCTAGACCATTCCTCTCCTGCACCCCTTACTGACAAAGTTGCACACTGCTGGTTCCTCAGAAGCCTTTCCCTAGAACAGGTTGGCCACCCCTCCTACGTGCTCACATGGCCCCTGTACAAAACCCCATCATGACAGTTTTCCCATCATATTGTGATAGTCTGGCCCTACGGTAAATTCAGTAAAGGCAAAGAAAATACCTTGTCCACAAGGTATTATCCTCAGCAAGACCTGAAACACAAAAGGCATTCAATACACATTTCCTGGATGAATAAAGTAATTAATAAAGTAGGAACCCTGGAAGGCTTTC